ACTGTAGTCTAGTTTCATTATTTTGCATGTTGCTTTTCAATTTTTAAAGTACCATTTATTGGAGAGGTTTTCTTTTCTCCATTTGTTTTTTGGCTTCTTTGTTGAAAATTATCTGCCCATATACATGTGGTTTTATCTTTGGGCTCTCAAATCTGTTCCATTGATCTGTGGGGTTTCCAGCCAGTACCATGTTGTTTTGATTATCACTGCTCTGTAGTATAATCTGAAGTCAGGTTGTGTGATATATATCCAGTTCTGTTCTTTTTTCTCAGGATCGCTTTGGCTGTTCAAGGACTTTTGTGGATCTGATTTTTTTTGTTTGTTTTGTTCTATTTCTTTAAAAAAAAAAAAAGACATTGGGATTTTCATGGGACTGCATTAAATCTGTACATTGCTTTGGATAATATGGCCATTTTAATTATGTTGCTTTTTCTCATCTATGAACATAGAATATCTTCCAGGTCATACTTTTTCAATCTTTTAATAATGCTTTGTTTCACATCCTTTGTTATATAATGTCTTAAAGTCTGTGTTATTCCTATTTTACAAGTTGTTTTGGCTGATTATTTGCATTTCCATATAAGTTTTAGAATCAGCTTGTCAATTTACAAAAAACATAGTTTTTTTTAAAATTGAAATTGTGTGGAATCTATTGATCAATTTGAGAAATGACATCTTAATACTGAATTTCCCAACTCATAAACATTGTACAACTCTCCATTTATATAGGTTTACCTTCTCAGCAGTTTTATAATTTTCAGGTTTGTACACTTTGTACAGGTTTGTCCATTTGTCAGATTTATCACTAAGTAATTATTTTTATATGCCATTTTACTATAAAAACTATTTTATATATTGATCTTGTATGCAGCAACTCTGCTAAATTAACGTATTGTAGCAGATATAAACTACCTATCTTTCCATTTCAAAGTATAGTTTCATTCTGTCACAACCTGATGGTCTTTGGTTATTTACCATACCCCATTAGTCCTCATCATAATCCAAGGGAATCAAAATTCATCATCAGTTTTCCTGAGCCTATACTTTCTTGATGGCAAGATCAGTTCCAAATGGGTCATGCTTTTAATGATTGTATTTTTAGAGGAAAATATTTAATCTGATTCACCCACTGATTACCAGCCATCAGCCTCATTTTAGAAACAGGAGAAATACAGAATTTTAGGCTTCACTCTGGACCTAATGAACCAGAACTGCATTTTGACACATTCCTCAGATGGTTTATATGCATACTGAAGTCTGAGTAGCATTGCTTCCTATTGACAAAAATCATGTAGATCCTCTACTTCTAGACAGTTCAGAAACCCTAGCTTTGCCCATAACTACATAAAGGAGTTTTAAGCCATTTTTCTATGGGAAGAACATTATAGCTATTCTGACCATTGCTAGATTATTTCTAGAAAGAATAGATTTGTATTTGTCTTTTTACAGAATCTATTGATCTATTATCAGAATTGAGAAGAAAGCTATATGACCCAAGTAGAGATCTAAGATACATTAATATTACTTTAATCACAATTTCATTCCCAAGAACCTGGGGAATACTCTGGTTTTCCTTGTCTCTATTACACTTTATTCACTCACCTTCATGACCACACTCTGTATCTTATTACCCCTCTGAATTCTTTCTGACCACAATCAGCCAACTCTTCAGTTCTCTCATTCTAATAATTCCCACCACACCTGTTCTTTGACTTTACCAGGGTTGCTGGTCAGTCTCCTTCCTCTCCCCCCATCTCTGTTTTCACCTTCTTCCCTACCTAGCTACTCCACTTTCATTCCAATATTGTCTATTTCCTTATCTACAAGTCCAACCACAGATCATTCTTTCAGGTTTCTCTGTTCCTATATTAATTGGCTTAACGACCTAAAAGTAAAAAGCAAAACTAACATATTCAGAAGAAAACAGAGATGCTTATCTTTATGACACTGAGGATTTCTCAAGATACAGAAAGTACAACAAATCATGAAGATGAATAGGCAACACAGAATAGGAAAATACCCAAATGGCCAATAAATACAGAGAAAGATCACCAACTTTGTAACACAGAGCTATAAATTTAAAAAAAATCACACCACCATTTCAAACCCATCAGATTGGCTAGATGGTCCAATAATATTAAATACTGGCCAAGATATGGGGCAACAGAGACTCATATATTGTTGGTGGGAAACTCAATTGGTACAAGCACTTTACTGAACAATTTTGTAATACTCAAGTTACAACTGAAATGGATCTCACATTCCAACAGTTCTACTTCTAGTTATGTCCTAGAAAAGCCTTCACAGATTCCCAAAATTATTGTTCCCAGTGCTATTTTAGCGAAAGGTGAGAAAAATCTAACTGTACCTCAGAAAGGAAAAAGCTGTAGCTGTGATGTTTTATTTCCTTAAAAAGATAAAACCAAAGCAAATCTGACCTAATGAAAACAAAATGTTAATATTTGTTCAACCTACTGGTGGGGACTCAGTTATATATTATTGCTTATACTTATTTATCTGAAATACTATATACATTTAAAAATTAAGTGTGACACAGAAAGCAATATTGTCCTTAACATTTACAGCAGGTTAGTAATTATTTTAAGTATCATTATCCAACAGACCTCAATTCACACAAACATTAGTACTGGTGCTATTTACAAATAATTCTTTGTAACCTACCACCGAGTAAAAGTTCCAAACTGTTTATTTCTTCCATTGCTGGAAATTATCCTATAAATTACTGAACCTTGTAATGTTGACTCAAAATCAGGGAGTAAAAAGGCAACAAAACAGACTCCTTTCTAGATCTATTGTAATCTCAATAGTTATTAACTTTTAATGTCCTTAACTTTAAGTATGTCCACCACAACAGACATATAAATACCACAATAGACATATAAATACCAAGACATCCCAGGCTCTTAGGGGAAAATAAAGGGAGGCTCATGTAATCCTGAAGCTTGTCCGGCCTTTCTGTTCCCAACCACCCTTCCCATAGACTCCAGGTTAAGAGTCTCTCTGAGATGCTATCAAGTTAGCAATCATAGTAAACATTTATAAACAACCTACTTTTTTTCATCATTGTTCCTAAGGACTTTACATTTATTATCTCCCTTCATTCTTATACTCTTTCAGGTCAAAGGAGTTTACGTCTCTTAACTCACTTTATCATTTTAATTACTTTAAGGTCCACAGCATTCTTATTCCCATTTTCCAGATAACCAAATTGAGGCATTCAGAGGGTAAGTAATTTGTCTAGTTAATTAGCTAGTACTTGGTGAAGCCAAGACTAAAATTCAGTTAGGCTTCAGAATAAGAATTTTTGTGCCTAACTGATGGACAGTCAATTAGAAAAGGTTTCACTTTAAGGTTATAAACAAACATTTAAAAAATGAGATTGAAAGGGGGGAAAAAAAAAAAGATAGACACAGGGCCTCCAAAGCATTTTTTATCTTTTATTCCTTGCCAAACATAAAAAAAACAAAACCAAAAAAAACCACCAAAAAAAAAAAACACCCCAAAACTACTGTGATATTCTCTTGCTTTAAAAATTAATTTTATTTTGCATTGCTCATGCCTTTTAAGATGAAGGTTTCTTTGTAATATAACAATCAGTGCACTCTTTCTTTTGACTTCTTTATTAAGTTGGTTGCATAAAAGATATATTCTCATACTGACAATTCTTGTCATGAATAAAATCAACAAAAATAAGGCAATAGCAAGACATGCTTCACAAATAAACAATCAAGTGGTAAGAATACAAAATCTGGCCTGTACAACAAACAGATTAGGAAGCAAAATGTGAATAAGTCCTAGATTCAAAATATACCTAAAGACACAAAAAGCACAATCTATGAAGATAAATAGGCAATACAGAATAGGGAAAACCTAAGTGGCCATTAAATATAAAGAAAGATCACCAACCTCAATCAGAGAAATACTAATTAAAAAACATCACAGATTCCTGGTTTATGATGCATAATTTCATTATCAACCATTTGTGAAATAAGAATGAACTAAGAAATATGAAATCCGAATTGCATTTATTTTCACAATATCAATGCTAAATTCAATAAAACTTCATTGAATCTAAGTATTAAAGGTTTCGAAAGTAAAAGACAATCTTAATTTTTTTAACCCTATGAATAGGGTCTGCAAAAAAGTAGATTATTTTGTTCTACTTGCAAGGAGAATAGGTCTCAGCCTGCCGTTAAGTGGCATGAGCAACAAAGGACAACAAATATCACTAAGAGTAATGCCCATACATATCAAAATATCTAGTTGAACCATGTTCTTTCTGCTTATATAGCAAGTCTATTAAACAACCAGCATAATGGAAGCTTACATCTCATGAGACAGAATTACTAAATTAACATACATCTATTAGAAATTTTCAACCCCCACTCCCAAAACATTTTAGCACACCTGTTAAGTACTGCAGGTCATTTAGAAAAACAAATAAAACATACACCCAGTCTTTGCAATTAAAAATTTTCCATACATATAAACAATGTCCAGATATAAATTCTGAACTAAATGTTTTTTCTAAATATGATTTATGTAATCAAGGCTTTCTTAAACAAAGACAGGTCTTAGGTATATGATCTGTACAAACTGACAGTAGTGTATATTCCAAATAGATTTTTCTTCCTATTATGATATGACAATATAACTCTTTTCTGAGTGAAGATATATGTTAAGCTTAGGGTGTAAACACTCTGGAAGGCAAACAAGTTAGTGAGAAAATTAATGTTCATTTAAAAACGTGTATCATCTCATAATAGGCCCTGAATTTTCAAATTTACATGTACGAATACATTTACATCTTAAGTTTCTAGGAAAGGTACAGGCTTTGTGTAAAAAAGCAGCAAAATTTTAAACCCACCAATTTATTGAAAAAGCCATTACTTTTATTAGAAACACATAATGCTTCTCAAGATGTTGGCAACAGGTCGTAGTTTAGACGTATATTTTATACAGTGTACTTCTCCCTTAAATTATATTCCAGTAGGAGGTGGAATACCTCCTTGGGTGTGAGAAGCAGAAGTATTTGATGGACTGTGTAAGTTGGTCTCCTTGTACACAAACCATGCATTTCCTCCCCAAAGTATCATATTCAGAAAGCCAAAGATCTAAGAAAGAGAAAAAGAAACATGAAGATTTAATGCCTACTTTTTTACGAATATTTTTATTCATACCCATCATAGTTTTCCTTAAATACTTAACATTCCAGGCAGTAAATCATTATTTCATATAAAGTTTTAACTAGTACATATGACATGGAATAAAAATACTTTATATTTAAATACCAAATTCAAATATATAATGACTTATTCCCAACAAAATAAAGCTAAATCTCTAAATTTGTAACATATAAAACCATGCCAAAAAAAAAAAATCTATTTTTGCATGGTCACTATTATAAAAAATAGAATTAAATTTGAGAGCATAACTAAAACCCTCCTTTTAAATTTAAGCCTTGTGTTTTTTCCTACTTCCCTACTTTTTACCCCCTACTACCTACCATCTTTCCTATTCCAACAACTATAGGCAAAAGAAAAAAGGAGTCAGAAGAACTTTATTTCACATCTTACATTAGTCTCTAGTACAAATTTGATAAGAAGAAAGTCTTAAAGATGAATAAACTGAAGCTACCCCTATTTTCATGTTTTTTTCTAAATTCAAGAAATATATGTTCTTATATTTGTAAAAAATATGAAGTAAGAGTGGAATAAGAAGCTTGAGAGTACTATCATATTACTAAAGACAAAGCTTTATAACTTTTTGTATATTTGCATACAAAAACATTCCTGAAACTATCCATTTCACAGATATTATTAATCAATGTAAGTGCAAAAAAGGTGACCTTTCGATTAAAGTTATAAAGCAAAAATTTGGTCAAATTGCTTTATAAGGCAGCGCTAACTTCACCCAACACTTTCTTAAAAAGATACGAGACCTCCCTAAACATAATATACTCCATATAACATTATATTTAATTATATATTTATCTGAATTTGGTAAAATAGAGGATTAAAGAATATGTACATTTCTATAGACTTATTTTTTTTTTAGGTTATTTATTAAACCAGAAAACTATTACTTTCATAGACTCAGAGCAAGTAACATTAGAGAACGAGTTTTATAAAGTCAGATCTGGTTCAAACCTTGGTTTGCCAACTTGGGTGAATAAAAGCTAAATTTTTTCCTAGACTGTTGGGTCATGTAATGCCTTTAGTATAACACCTGGCATATTGACTTAATAAATGTTAGTGACTATTATAAGTACCTATCAGGTAAAAGTCTTGCCTAGTCAATTTTAATGATAAAAAAGACTCAATTATGATCTTGCTCAAACCCATTTTCTAATTTTTCTAACAAACTTTTCTTTGTAGTTATAAAGATAAAGATTATATGGTAACCAGGATTCTGACAGTTTAATGAAAATAAAATCCAACACATCTAGAAATTATTAAAAGTTATTGTTAAATTAGTAGGTAAGGTTTTTCAAATAAGTGAAATGAAATATTTTATAAATACTGCATACATACCACAGATACATTTAGGGATCCCATACCAGTCACAGAGCCAAAATGACACATCAATCTTTCAGAATGACAGGGTGCAAGTTCTTTGACAATACTGTGACCGGTAGCTATTTTAATATCTGTAAGAGCTTTAGCCCAGGCTGAAGTGCTCACCAGCCACAAGAATGTGACAACAAGAGTAACAATAAAGTCCTAAAGTAAAAAGAAGTATGAATTAATAATGAACAGTTAATTTAAAAATACTAAATTTAAATCCATAATGAAGAAATTGAGATTACATCGAATCCCATGGTACTGAGAAATGGCCTTCATGATACACTTTATAGAAAAGGGTACAGTCAACATAATAAACTTTGGTGTTTATTATTACTAGCCCAAAGCCTGAGCAACGACACTAAATAAGACTCAATCATCTCTTTAGGAGTGAAAGGTATTTACACTAGAAATCAAGGTTTTAAATAACCCTTACCACAAGCATACCTAAGCCACTCACTCCCAGGACCATATCTTAGACCGTTATCACAAATAACTATATCCTTACATAATTTCTATTTTAAACAGCCTACTTCCCAATAGCACCTTTCTTTCCAGCTACCTCTGCCTGGCACTGACCTTAAAAATATAACCCCTCTCCATGGAGACCTACAATCTATTTTATCACTTGTTTATTATCTCTCAACCTCACTTATGCTCTAATTTCCTTCAATTTATATTCTAAAGTCCTTTCATATAATCCTTTGCATATACTCTTTAACTCCCTTACCCTTCCTTCTTCTGATAATCACATTGTTCTGGCAAAACTAACTTTAATTAACTCTAATTCTCCATGGTATGCAAAATCAAATGGTGAAAAGCACATATCAGGAAGACTAGTCTTTTTAAATTCATGATCATGAAATTTTAAGAATGCTCATTATAATAATAAAAGAATAAGAAAGAAATTTCTCTGAAAATACCTTATCCTAGTAGTTTTCTACTAAAGTCTTTGCTAGTTATTATATTTCTAAAATCAGAACTGAAGTTTTTAATATTTTGGATAGTTTTTTCTCCAACTAATAAGATGAAGAAAGGAAAAGAAACATCTACTCTTACTCAATCCTTTCTGATGGGAAACTAAAATTTGTCAGTATTGTTATAAAGATCTAAATAACACTTTAAAAAATATGCATTTGTATAATATAAAGTATAAGTCCCACTTTGTTTAGTCTTCCTTTAAGTTAAAGACCAAAGTGGGAGTAACGTAAAATTTATATCTTTTGTTATGTAGTAGGGTATACTCAAGGCTATGAGTTTGTACACAACTGCAGCAAAACTCCAAACTCAGTAATGGATTCTGGAGCTTATTCCAGAAGTGTTTTGTTTTAAAAATGAATCTGATTAGTTTCTAATTACTTTTGCCAGCCAGCTCTTAGTTATTTAGGATAAACACCAGTGACCACTTACAAGATACAGAAATTATGTTACATATAGCTTTTCCAATTAGTCAAAATACATTGAATAAATATCTTGTGATTAGAGAACCCAAAACAATGACTAACTTTACAAACATGAAGGTATTTACATTTTGTATTTGAGCTTTCTACTGTTACTGATCCTTTTAAAAAATGTAGATTAAAGAGAAAAGGACAGGAACTTTATAGCTTAAAGTTTTGCACTGAAGGAGTTCCTTTTTGCTGCTGTACCTTTTGCTGCAGGTAGACATTTCCTAAACCCTTGCTAGAAATACAATGACTTTTGAAGAACTGGAAGTAGTATGTATGAGATTATCACATGTTTAAAAAGTAATATCTGGGCTCAAGTTCACAGCTTTAACCAATATATACATATATCTCAATTCCTCTTAATTTTTAGTTTTCCCCTCCAAATTTCTAATTAAACAACAAGCTGTTTTTCCCCTTCCATGATTATGTTCTTTACCTCTACTTTGCTGATGCCTTGACATGACATTCTTATACTTCAAAAACTTTTCTGAAAATGATGCACAGAGTAACCCTAGGGTGAGGAGAAAATGTGGGTCTCTGAAGATAGATTTTGTCCTGCTCAGGATTCTAGTTAAGATGATGCACCATGCATGCCTGGAGTTCTGCAGCCTGGTCCTACCAATAATCAGGATATGATTCATAAGAGATTTTTAGGATCTGGGATACCCTATATTTGTTTGGTTTTATTTTATGGTATTTCTGATTCTGAACATGGCCTAGAAACCTTAAGCTCCTGCTACTTAACACAAAAAAAGTAGTACATTTACTTAAAAAGGAAGCTTTAATGGACTTAATGTCACAATTGAAATGTTCCTAGAAATACCTTAGCAGAGGATTGCTAAAATAAAAGAATGTCATCATTAACAGACAGTACTTTAAAATAAAAAACTAATGTCATATTTGGCTATACTTAAAAATTTGGGTATCTCGAGAAAACTTTTTAATATTTCTATGTTTAAATCAAAAGTAGAATTCAAAATTTAATTTAGAAGCTGGACTTTACTACAAAAAGCATCTATTATATGCAATATCAACAAAAAAAAAAACACTAAGGAATTCATTCTGAATTATCTCTCTACATGACCACTAATTGATCATGAGGTAAAAAATTACTTTTAACTTTCTGACTGATGCAACTCGATCAGTTTCATTACCTAGACAGAAAAGCCTTTCACAAAAGAACCAGATTTGGCCCAGCTGGCATGGTTCAGAGATTGAGTGCTGACCTATGAACCAGGTCATGGTTGGTTCCCTGGTCAAGGCATACATGAGTTGCAGGCTTGGTCCTCAGTGTGGGGCATCCCAAGAGGCAGCTGATCAGTGATTCTCTCTCATCATTGATGTTTCTATCTCTCTCACTCTCCCCCTTCCTCTCTGAAATCAATAAACATTTAAAAAAAGAAAAAATTAGATTTACATGTTGCTTTTAAAAGTGTGGTCACTTTAAAATTTATTAAACAAAATATGAGAAATGAAAGGCTCACTGCTAAATTTAACTTAAAAATTTGTTGGGATAATGACAACATGGCAAGAATTTTTATGTCTTCATTAAATACAAGTAATAAGGAATTTTAACAAAATACATCTAATCATCATAGTTTTATAGCTTCCTCATATGTAATTTCTGTTAAACATTACAAATAGTTTATGGAAAGCACCTAACAATAAAGAAATGTTTTATAAAAATGTCAAGTTTAAGAATCTCTTTTATATATAAAAAATGAAATAAACATGGATGATAAAAAATTGTTTTATTCCTTACTTACCATTTGCATTCTTATGATCCAGGCAGCAAAAATTAAAAATAAGTAAATAAATAAAACCTGTTATCTTATTTCATAATTTCTTCATATTTAAATACCTTCTCTTTAAAGTAAATTCATAAATAATTAGCATGTCAGTATTTTTTCAAGATATAAAAGACCAGTATTACAAAAAACACCTCTGGTTTTCTCCCTTCAAGTCAGTAACACTAATACTGCCTTTGTACTTATTTTTCTGTAGTGGAGGTCAAGCTTAAACACATGGCTTATCTCTGAATCTGTCACCAATGATCCAGGTCAGATTCTATAATAAATATTAGAGATTGCTATTCTTTAGCTCAGCAGACTTAATTCAAAAATGGTGCTAGGACTTCAAATTCAAATCTTTTGTTGCCATCTAACATTTCAAAATTAACTCATGAATGCTACTAATGCTGAATTCTATAATTTTCATAGAATTATCTGCATCAGGTTTTAACTTAAGGCATTTAGAGCAGGAATCAGCAAATATTTTCTTAAAAAAGGCAAGGCAGTAAATCTTTTTTTTTTTTAATCTCTGTTTCAAGTATTTAACTCTGCCACTGTAGCATGAAAGCAGTCATAGATAATATGTAAATGATTGAGTGTGGCTGTGTTAAAAAAAAAACTTTATTAAAACAAAAAACAGTGAATGAGATTTGGCTTGTGGGCTATAGTTTGCTAATTTCTTGACTATTAACCTCAAGATCATATTGTGGAAGCATAAAGGGGGTCTTTAAGAAGAGAGAAAAAAGGTAAGAAGTAGGACCACAGTTTTGAAACTACTAGTATGGTCAGCAGTTCTACTTAATTTCTCTGCTACTTGCAACCTAAGATGCTCTATTACATATTGAAGTTTTCCCAGGTTAAAACAGAATAAGAAGCAAACCTCAGCTCTCCCTTAGGGTACAGAAAAAGTGCTTCAAATACCCTAAAAGAATTGGCTTAAACATGACAAAAGAAGAAAACCTCACAAACACAGGTCAAAATATGTTGAACTGGCTCATGCCAAGAATTTTTATTAAAGTGTAAGTAAGTCTATTTCACTGCAAATATAATACATATTTATCATATAAAATTATTTTTGTATAAAAGGAAGGTGATTACTTACAATCATGGGAAGTTTTCGACTATCCCGATATAGGTTTGTGTAACCAACATAGAGCAGAAGAGCAGCAATGCAGTACAGGAAGACAAAGACTGCAAATGTAACATAGAATTGTGCAGAAGAAGCGTAATCTCCAACAAGGACAAACTTGTTCCAACCTACATCACATATATTTCCTGGAGGAGCCTGAAATGATGCCTCATTCAACCTATTAAAAAAAGGCTCCAATAAATTATCTGGACTCCACCAACAGAGACAAAAATACATAGGCAGAATATTAAAATGACATTAAAAAATATCCCCAAAATATAGGGTAAGGCAAAGTAGGTTTACAGTTGTTTGCATGGAAAAAATACAATTAATAAATAATAATACAAGACAAAACTCTATGTTTTATGTACTCATAACTGTAAACCCACTTTGCTCTATCCTGTAAATTAAAAACATTTTCCTTTTAAAATAAAAGGAAAACTTCAAATATTAAAATAAATTAAGATTTTCATAATATATACATGAATTATACATTATATCTTGATTCGAGAAAAATTTAATACAGACTTAATTTAAACATTTACAAATGTACTATCTTCTGCATTAAAACTGTAACAGAGTAAGAGGGCTTATACAAAACAGTTTATAATTTGAGACATAATATTCTATTCTAAGAAAGAGTCTGTGTTACTGGGACCAGGAGAGCCAATTATAATAATTCACATTTTAATTCTGGATTTAATTACCTGCCAACTTCACCTTGTCTTTAATTTTCCCTATCCATAATTCACAAGAGTATTTATCACTAAAGATGCAGAAAGAGTTCCTTGTACAGCAAATTTATAAGAGAAGAGTTGGGAGATGAAGAGGCAATGATACCAAGCACTTGCTATAAATGACAGATCTTTAATATAAGATTTCATTTAACCATCAAAATGAACTTAATAGGTAGTATTTTCAATATACTGAACAGAAAAACTGAGTCCTAGAGAGTTCAGTAAGTAGTTAGAATAAGTGAAAGGAGCTTCACACTATGGCTTAAACATGGACACATTCAATAAACTATTCAATGAATATTAAAGTCATATAGAAGAATTCACAACATATTCATTTTGGCCCTGGTCTGTTTGGCTCAGTGGTTAGAGCACTGGCCCGCAGACTGAAGGGTTGCAGGTTCAATTCCAATCAAGGGCACATATCTCGATTGCAGACTTGAACCCTGGCTCTGGCTGGGCCTAGTACAGGAGGCAACCAATTGATGTGTCTCTCTCACATTGACATTTCTCTTTCTTTTGCTCCTCCCTTCCACTCTCTCTAAAAATCAAAGGAAAAATATCCTCGGGTGAGGATTAACGACAACAAAAAAATTCATTTTAATTTGAGAGTAAGAAAATGAAGTTTTATGATAGGATAGGAACTCTGTAGAAACTGATTTCACATAAATCCATGTCCTAAAATTATATTTAGTAATGGCAAACACATGAGAAATTAGGATTTTTTTTTCCTAAGTTGTGTTTGCTTCCACATCATGACTTCTCACACTATGGTCATGGAGCAGTCTCTTTTTTATTAAATTTTTAATCCACTGTGGGATGATAGGATACAAATGTCAAGGCAATGTCATATAATAGTTTCTAAATGCTTACTCCCATTTTCTATAATTTATTTCACCATAGACTATGGAAACAGTTGGCAGACAGACATTGGTCTATGTACCACAGTTTGAGTAGCAATGACCACTATTTACAAATGAGGATGCAATTAAATTTTTTTTATCTCCTAAGATTAATAAATTGCTGGAAATCTTAATGGGTCAATATGAAAGTAAAAAGAGTTGTTAAACCATAAAAACAAATAAATAGCTCACCTGAATGGATAACCAAAAGTAGCCGTAATGGTTTTATTGTCAGAAACTTTAGGAGGACAATTCACTAGAATTTCTGTTTTGCCTTTAAAACCTCCACAGGTGGCAAAAGCAAAGATAGAAGCAACCTACATAAAGACAAAATTTAAATTAAAAAAAGAGAGAGAGAGAGAGAGAGAGAGGAAGAAAAGCATTACTATACCCAAAATATGGCTGATTCAAATCTTAAATTATTATTAAAAACCTGCTTACTAACATCACAAAAATATATAACACCAGTAGCCTGGTGCACAAAATTCAGGCATATTAAAAGGGAATTAATTAGAGGAAATATTTTAATATTGCTATTTGCCCTTTCTCTATAATAGAAGTATCAGAGATGGAAGAAAATTAGTAAAATGCATATGAAAATCTCCCTCCTGTCAGAGTCTGGGCAGTGCCTTGGGTCCCAGAGTTAAGTCCCTGCCTAGCCATGTGTGCCTCAAAATTGCGTGCAACCCTGACTCAGCCTCAGTTCCCCTGGCCCGGTGCCAGATGGGGGTCGCAGACTCAGATCCTCCATCAAGCCCCATGGGGGGTGGACGAGGCATGGCTTCAGGTCCCCCAGCCTAGCCTCAGGACCCCCAGCATGGCACTGGGGTGGGGGGTGGGGGAGGGTGTTGGGGGGGCGCGCAGCCTCAGCTCCCCCAGCCCTGGCATGAGGGCGTGATGACCATTTGCATATTAGCTCTTTATTATATAGGATTATAGACAATACAAAATTTCTTAACTATAAATTTAAACATAGATGGTGAAAAACATTAAAATATTTACTGCACCCTGGCTGGGTGGCTCAGTTAATTGGAACATCATCCTGTACACCAAAAGGCTGCAGGGTTTGATTCCCAGTTAGGGAACATACATAGGTTGTGGATTCAATTCCTGATTAGGGCATGTATGGGAGGCAACTGATCAATGCTTTTCTTTCACATTGATGTTTTTCTCTCTCAAAATCAATTTTAAAATATCCTTGGGTGAGGATTAAAAAAATAAAAAATAAATTACATGCAACTCTCAATAAATATTTTATTTTCTCCTGAATATACACAGAAATTTGTATACCAAGCCACATATAAATTCATTTATTCCAGGGGTACCCATTAAATATGAATATAAAATTTAGAGGAAGTCTTATTTATTAGTATAAAAATGAAAAGGGGGGAACTGGAGGTATTTTTACTTGGAACCCAGGGGTAACTGTTGTAATTTGGTAACTGTTGTAAGCCAAGAGATTGTATGCAAAGAAGTGATGTTATTTCCTGAGCTTATAAAACCTCATTGTGGATATTCTAGGTCTCAAAAAGTACTTGGAAATCTGTTTTTCTGATCACGCCAAACAAAAAAAAGTAATACTACTCTTGCAAAGGAAAAATTGGAAGCATCTAAACATTGACAGGGTACCAAATAAATTAAAGTTCATTCAAACTGTAACATTATGTGGTCATTAAAATGTTAGGAAATATTTAATTATATAGAAAAATGATTATTACATACAAAGTTTGTAAAAACAATACATTTTGTATATGTCTACATCTATGTATTCACACACAATAAAAAATAAACAGGTTATATATTAAAATTTTAACAGTAGTCACTTCTGAACAAAAGATAATTTCTAGAGACTCAAAGCAGCAGGACCTCTATCTCCACTGCTGGCTTCACAGCTGCCATGCATCCTAGAGCCACAAAAGTTTATTCTTCTCTAGTCAGGTTTCTGGCTGAGAATATAGCCCAGCCAACACCTGGATTTCAGTTTATGAAGGCTTTGAGCGGAGAAACCAAATGTTCAGGGCACTTCTAATCTGAAACCACCATAATCCAAGTATAAAACTTATGATTCCCTGGACCCCTGTCATCGCCATTTCAGCTGCTACCAGGGGTCGGCAACCTTTAAGACATAAAGAGCCACTTGGACCTGTTTTCGAAGGAAAAAAAAAACCTCGGAGCCGCAAAACCATTGCAACATAAGTGATACAGCTCCCCACCCCGCCCTGCTATCTGCCCTGCTAGTGTCGGACCTGCTGGGGGCCACAGCAAAGGTTCAAAAGAGCCTGCATGCGGCTCCGGAGCCGCAGGTTGCTGACCCCTGTTGCAGCTTCTGGCATGCCTGTACAACAACTTGCATGACATGGTTGGAGTTGAGTCTCACAGTCAACTAGCTGAGGGTTGATCATACACATAAACAGGCCAACAGCAATCAAGACCAAATTACAACAGAGAGTTCATATAATAGATAAAAGGAACATTCCTGGAGTACTCAGCTCAGGAGATCAAGGAGACTGCACCACTGGGTCCCACAGGTGCAGATGGCCACCCCACAAAAATTGGGAGGCATAGCAATTCTACCTAATACACAGAAACAAACACAAAGAGACAGCTAGCTAAAATTCGTGCACGGGGTGGGGGTGGGGGTGTCCCTCAGCCCAGCCTGCATCCTCTCCAATCTAGAGGGATATCTGACTGGGCAGTCAGACATCCTTCTAACAATCCAGGACTGCTGGCTCCCAACTGCTCGCCTGCCTGCCTTCCTGATTGCCCCTAACCACTTCTGCCTGCCAGCCTGATCACCCTCTAACTACTCCCATGCCAGCCTGTTTGCTCCTAACTGCCCTCCCCTGCAGGCCTGGTCACCCCTAACTGCCCTCCCCTGCAGACCTAGTCACCCCCAAATGCCCTCCTCTGCAAGCCTGGCCACCCCTAACTGCCCTTCTCTGAAGGCTTAACTGCCTTCAATTTCCCTTCCTTGCAGGCCTGGTTCCTCCCAACTGCCCTCCCCTGCTGACCTGATCGCCCACAACTGCCTTCCCTTGCAGACCTGGTCCCTCCCAACTGCCCTTCCCTGCTGGGAATGTGCCTGCAACAAGATACATGCCCTTGACCAGAATCAAACTTGGGACCTTTCAGTTCGCAGGCTGATGCTCTATCCACTGAGCCAAACCAGTTAGGGCTAGTATATAGATTTAAGAGAAACTTACTCATGTGTACTACAGGACATGCATAATAATGTTCATAGTGATACTGTTTATAATATCAAAATATGGGAAGGCAGGAAGCAACAGGAAAATGGGTAAAATATAGTAATGTATATTTACAATGGAAAGTTATATAGCAACTAGAGCCCCTGTGCACAGATTCGTGCACTGATGCGGAGTCTGGCCTGCAAGCATCATCCCGCTGTGGGAGCAATGCTCATCCCGATCAGCCGAGCTGTGCTCCCACTGTGGGAGTACACTGACTATCAGGGGACAGCTCCGGCGTTGAATGTCAGCCCCGTGGTGGTCAGTGCTTATCATATTGACTGGTTGACCGGTCATTCTGCTCTTTGGTCACTGGGCTTTTATATGTAAATATGAAGACATACAAACTATAGCTGCTTGTGTCAACATAGATGCATCATAGAAACCTAATGCTTAAGGAAAAAAGACTGTCTAAGACTACATAGAGGATGCTATTTCTTTAAAAACTCTGTTTACTTGTCCTCATCATTCCTGCCACTACTTTTGTTCAGGCCCTCACCATTTTCCTCTGGGATTAACCCAATACTCTTCCTCCCGTTTCTAATCTCATTCCCATCACCATTCATCTATTATAGATGGGATGGGGAACGTCCCACCCAAGGCTATATAAGGTCCACAAAATCATTTGGCCTGGCCTTGCCAAGGCATTAGGGGTGAGTTAATTAAATGTTTGACCAAATATAGCAGGCTAATTTTTAAGTTGATAAATCTGTATGGCCTGAAAATTATGCTATAAATATCCAAATAGCTCTTGGGGGGAAAAAAAAAAGTTTCCCCATTCTTATTCTATAGTGTGGGCTCTAAAGCTGCAGTGTTTAGTAAATAGGTAGATAAGCCACATGCAGCTACTGAGCACTTTAAAAATAGCTAGTCTGAACTGAGATGGCTATAAATGTAAAATATACAATGAATTATAAAAATTTAGCAGAAGAAATGCAAAATGTCTCATCAATAACTGTTTATATTAACTACCGTTTGAAGCAATATTTGGATACATTGGGTTAAGTAAAATATATTATTAAAATAAATCTCACCTGTTTCTTTTCATTTTTTAGTGTAGCTAGTAGAACATTTAAAATTACTATGTTGCTTGCATTTATATTTGCATTGTTGTTTTTTTTGGGGGGGGGGGTAAGGGGTGTTTCTATTGGATAGAGATACTTTAGTCACACTGATCTGAAGTAAAAATCTGGTCATGTCACTCCCTTTTAAAGAGATTTCCTCAAAGACTTTCCAGACATAAATTTAAGAAAAGAAACAAACAAACAAACAAACAAAAACCCAACTTCTTAATTTGGAATGAGAAGCATGGCTGAGGTAGCCTCAACTTCATCTTTCTATATTTATGTGCACTACACTCCCAGCCAGGTACTAGGACTATCACATTATACTATTTACTATTCCTGAAATGCACCACGTATTTATGTCTTGGATGTACATGTTTCTTCTGCCAGGAATTGCCTCCCAAACCTCATTCTGTAGAAGTTCATCCTTTATTTAAAACCTTACCCAATTCTTAGTGGTGGAACTATTCTGAATCCTAGGCAGCCATAGACTGGGTCATTAACTCTACCATAAATGTTTTTCTTGTGTATCTTGCCTTGTAAAATAAAAACAAACCCAACACAAAAACAATAAAAACTAGTTTCCCACATAATACAAAAATCAGTGAATAAATGGATACTGTACTATAGCATATGCTTTTTTTATCCTCCAGTATTTAAATTTTTTAAAAAAATGTTAACATTATCTTCTTCACGTTCAGATGTATTCTAATTGCTAAATTTCTCCTCTCTATTCCCACTGCAATTAATGTTAGGTCCTCATTATTTCTCAGGCAATAGGTTTCCTCTCATTTCTGACCTTTTCAATCCTCTATATCACTAACAAAATTAAAAGGCAAATCTGATCATATCATTCACTTGTTTAAAAGTGAGTGAGATCCTACCTATGGTAGGAATCCTGGGTTTAAAGAAGCTAAGCTTCTTTAATGAAAAGCTCAACGCAGGAGCTGCCCCCTGGTGATCAGTGCGCTCCCACCTGGAGAGCATCGCTCAGCCAGAAGCCAGGCTCACTGCTGGCGAGCAAAGCAGCGGTGGCTGGCGAGAGCCTCTCCTGCTTCCCCATCAGCTAAGGATATCCGACTGCCCGCTAAGGCCGCTCCCTGAGGGCTCCAGGACTGGGCTGCGGAACTCCCGCCCACCCCATGCACCAATTTCCTGCACCCAGCCTCTAATATATAACACAAACTCAAATACTTGCTGAATAAACATTCACTACACCATTAACAAGGAATAATCTTTTCATAAAAAGTTCTATGTAGTAATAAGTTGTTCAAACAATAGTATTTCCTTAAAAAGCTTTAAAAGGATAGTAAAAATATATTGGCTACAAATATTTATCAACTTATTGCTGTTCTGAAATACTAAAAAAGTTAAGTACATCTTTTTTTTTTTTTAAATAGACCAATCATATAAGCACAAAATACAAACTATCTCTTTGTGTAAGTAAAAATTTAAATTTAACTGTAATCCTTTAACGAGATTAAATCTACTAGGTATAAGACTTTTTCCAAAACCTTTATATTTCATTAGCTTAATTAAATGTGATTTTTCACCTGCAATTTAAATTTTTTACATATTCAATTAACCATTTTCTTTATATTTAAATCTGGACCTTGGTTTACAGGACCCTAAATATATACATCTTTCTGTCTTTGAAATAGGTATTTGTGTGAACCAGCAGGGTTTCAGTTTTTAGAAAGCACCCAATGAAACTGGGGGAAAGGGAGGGAACCGGGTGTAAGTAGGAAATCAAATGGAGTGCCCATTAGAGAATGGGAGTGTCTCTGTGTTACTTAAAAAAAAAACACACAACATCCTAGGTAGGTTCCTTAAAACAGGAAATCGAAAGTCCTGCCTCTTGACTACTTGTAGCACTAACACACAGGGTTAGAGAGTTTGGTGTAAATTTTGCTCGCTGTAAAAAAACAACTTGCCTGCACACGCTGGACAGATGCCAGCCGCCTATGAACGTTCGCCTGAATATCAGCACTGAAATATGTACTAGGCCATGGAGTCCGCAGAAGCTCTGCGGTGCCTGGCGTATCCACCAACGCCTCCAAGCGACTTGGTCACTGTCAAGGTCGGATTAAATCAGCCCCCTTTGATGTTACTAACTGGGTATTCCCAGGAAAGGAGTAAAAAGCGGACCGCAGGCTGCTGCTGCTGCTTGGAAATAACTGAACCGTGATGGCGATTCCTAGCATGTGTTTCACAGCGAAGCGAGACGCGTGTTGAGGTTAAAACCCTTTTCCAGCCCCGCCCCGCCCCGCACGTCTCCCGCGACCATCCGGATCCGCCAAGCTTCCCGGACCCAGTTTATTTTGTAACCATTTTTTAACTTGGAGCCAAGCTTAGGAACAAATTAAGAAGTGAATGCTCGTCAAGTGCGTTCGACCGGGCACGACTAGCTTTCGAGGGAGAGGGAGAGGGAGAGGGAGAGGGAGACCTCCGGTCCGCAGAGGGAGAGGGAGCGGCCTCCGGCCCGGCCCTGGCACCGGCGGCGGAGGCGGAGGCGGGGGCAGCGCCGGCCGGCCGCCCGCCGGGTTTCGGTTAGACCTCAACAGGAAGCTTTCCCTTCCCTCGCGGTAAAGACGGAAACACTTCCACGGGGGCACCCAGAGGTGAGCGTCCGTGCGGGAGGGCGGCTCCGCCCCGGACCCGCGCGGGCCCAGGCCGCGGCCTCGCGGACCCTCCCCGCCCATTCCGCCCCGTCCCGGGAGGGGCCGCGCTCCGGGGCCCGCGCGAGCCGGGCCGCGCCCCCACTCGCGGGGCTGCCGGCTCCTCGCCGAGGGCGCCGGCCGGGCCGGAGAAGGGGCCGCGGGGACGGGGGCGGGGGCGGGGGCGGGCGCGGCGGCGCGGCTCCCGGCCCGGCGGCGCGGGCTGCACTTACCCACTCGAGGACCTTGATGAAGCCGAGGGGCTCCTTGAGCGGGTTGAGGTTGAGCTGGAAGTTGGACATCCTCTGAGGGAAGGAGGGAGAGACAATCAGGACGGCTGGGCGGAGGAGGAGAAGGAGGAGGAGGACCGACAAGACCCAGCAGTCTGGCGGCGAGGAAGGGCAGGAGGGGCGGACTCCGGGAGGCGGGCCCGGAGGCCGCGGGCGGGGCGGGCCCCGGAGGCCGCGGGCGGGGCGGGGCGGGGCGGCGGCGGTTGAGCCGCTTCCCTGGGCGCTGGGGCGGAGACTGAGAGGAGCGGTGGCGGTAGGTGAGGGGTGGACAGGGGCTGGGAAGGGGAGGAGCCTCCCCGGGCCGCACCTGGCCGAGCCGGCTGATCCGCTGGCGGACCAAGTACATGTTGGACGCCATGCTGTGTGCGCCGCGCCCCCTGCCCTCCCCCCCCGAAGTCCGGGCCCCCACGCCCCGTCCCGCGCGCCGGCTCCTCCGGCGCATGCGCGCGCCTGTCCCCGCGCCTGCGCACTGAGGGCCGCCGCCCTGCGCCGAGGGCTCGGTGTGGGTTCGTTGAGCTCTCACACCTCGCCCAGCGACCGACCGTCTTCCACCCGCTTCTCTTCACAAGTTCCCAACTTTTGAATGGATTTATAAGACACTGATAGAGAGGAAGCCGCGTTTCAAGGCAGGTGGCTCAGAGGCCCTTTACGAAAGAACGGTGGAGAGTTTATTGCAGAACAACGGATTTGGGGCGACCGTGATCTGTAGGTATCTCAGAAGCATATTCACCAGACATTCTTACCGAAATTAAGTTTATTGTCCGAGTTAGTACTGGAGTCAGGGTTGGAAATGTGGGAGAAAGGCAATGCCTAACAGAAAAAGACTTGGACACACAGGCTCCTCACAACCCACCGACACCCCTCTCCTATCCTGACGTCGAGTCCTCTACTTGGGTTAGGGTTAGGGTTAGGGTTAGGGTTAGGGCCTTCTATAGAAGGCTAATCCTATCCCCCTTTCAAGATTCAACTTAGGCAACCCTTGCCTTTTGGCACCCAGTTACCGGAGGCCCGAGGTAGTGATCTCCTGGTTGGCTTCCCCAACACCTTGTGAGTTCTTTGAGGGCTGGAATGGTGGCCTAATGGCCTGTACGGATTGTAAGGTAGTTAAACATGGATGGATTGTAAGGTACTTCTATAACACCCAGGTAACAAAGAAAGGAGTTTAGCACAAAAGGTTCCCAATATCAACTTCCGAGTACTTGCCTGTATCCACACTGATGTTCCAAGCACCTCTGAATTAGCAATGCCCTCGCCATTCAAGTTATTCTAGAAGTGTTTGACAACTTAATTGAAGGTCTTTCCAAGACTAGCCCTTCCTTTTTTTCAGACCCGTTTACCTCCTCATTTGCTTCCCAGAGAATGCAGAGAACACACTTCTATTTCCTGGTTAGCAGAGACAGTTTTATACTCTTTTGTCCTGACTTGCAGTCCTCAATCCCCAACACAAGTGCCTTATGCTCAGTGGGCACCTAGTGGATGGTTGCACATTCCTCTTACTTAAATAAATCAGTGATGCCTCTCGGTAGAAAATGACCACGCATGGTACTCAGTGCACCTGAGACCACTGTAAGCGCTACCCTAGGTCTTACAGCTTTCCTGACTTTTCTACTTTGTTTCTGCACCTTTTCTCCTTGCACCCAGTTATCAGAGTCCCAAAATAGTGATCTCCTTGCAAGGCTTCCTTGCTACTCTGTATTCTCTTTAGCTCACTTATCTAAACTTTTATTCCCATTCTGTTGAGGCTTTTTGGATGGGCACCTAGGGGTAGGTTGTGGATAGTAGTCCTATATGGCTTGAGCTTCATTTTCACAAAGATTCAAAGTAGACGTCAATGTTATTTCCAAAAGAGATATACATGGCAGATGAGAACGATGTTGATGTTCTTTTTGCAACATTACTTATGAACTTTAAAAATCTAACTGTGAATCTATAACTTTAAAAACCTAAAATATACTATAATTTAGTAACCCAGTTTATGCATTTCTCCTCTTCCCTCCCCCATCTTTTGAAAGTTTAAGAAATTGGAATTAGCCAGGCTCTTACTCAACTTCTGAAATTAACTTTCTATTTCCTCTTCTGACTAGTTGCTTTTTCTCCTGCTTCTTGTTCATGCCAAATGGCAGAAGGCATGGTTATTCTCTGAAATCCTTCAGTGCTAGAGTAAACACCTTGGACTTTAATAAGTTATCTTCCTTGGCCATATGTCAATATTTCTTAAAAGATAGAGACAACTTACAGTGAGCAGAAGAGTATCAGGTCACTTGTCAGAACTCAATCATAGGATATGGCTGGGCGAAACAATGCAGGAGGGACCTACAGCTGTTACCTGCAGTTGCATAAACCCCAGCACTGCTTCTGCCAGTCGGCTGAGCTCAGAGGAGCTCCTACTTTCCTGAAAAGGAGCTGGTAGTGGCTGGCAGAGCAGGTGAGATCTGATTAGACAATCAGAAGGGTGTGGATTTTTATTTACAACTAGTGACCTGGTATGCACATTGAAAGGAAATTGATTAGAAGGTGGCCAGGGGGCAGGACTGGGAAAGAAGGGCTGGACATAACCTGGAGCCAGCCTCCTTCAGTCCCTCCCTAGCGTCTGTGGAGTGAGCGGGTCTCTCTGGCAAGTGGGATCCCTTGGCCTGGCCTGTGGGGATCCCACTGAAACTGGCTCTCCCAAGATTCCCCAAGGGGTCCTGGAGTGTCAGAGATGGAAGAAAATTAGAAAAAATATATATGAAAATCTTCTACCTGTCAGAGTCTGGGCCACACTGTGGGACCCAGAGTCAAGTCCCTGCCCACCAGTGGTGCCTCAAAATGGCATGGCAGAGGGCACAGCCTCAGGTTCCCTGTCAAGCCCCTCCAGGTGGGGGGGAGTGCCCATCAAAGAAAGAGAGGGACTAAGCACAGCAATTGTGGCAGCTATCCCTTCAGCTCTGTCCCCAGAGCCACAAACCTTAGTCTCTCCTCACGAAACTCTGGTCCACTCTGCCCTTCATTTGCTGGAATTCAGGGTACCTGATTGCAAACCATATTTTGTCCCCTGGCTCTTTAAGAGGGCACTTGTGTCTCTACCAGACTGCTGACTCTCCCTGTCTTCTACCCAGGTTGAAGAGGGTGCAGGCTGGGCTGGGGGACAGCCCTTACCCCATGCACAAATTTTGTGCACCAGGCCTCTAGTCTTTAAGAAAGGAAATGTGAGTTGTGGTGAGGTTTAAATTTTATTGTCTTCAGAGGTCATATAGAAAAGTGTCTGGTACAGAGTTAAGCACTTAAAGTTGTTATCAGTGTTCCAGAAACAGTGGGTGGATCTGTCTTCAGATTGGATAGTTAAGCAACAAAGACTCAATGCTACAGCAAAAAGTCATTTAAGAAATCAAACTTTTAATTATTATTAAAAGAGAATTAGAGTGCCAAGGAAGACTATTTCATTGATAGAAGGAATGAAATATGAAACTTGGGAGTAGAATTCCAGAAAGCAAATAAAATGCAATATTTAATTACTGAAAGGCATATGGAGCAAAGTTCATGCTAATTCTTTCTGTATGGGTTTAATTTTAATATATCTGTGGCTGAAGTGAGCACAGTTCTCATCACTATTTTAAGTTTAGCTCACATTTGAGCAATGAGTAAACAGGAAAAATGTTCTAATTTTAGAGGTTAATTTTATAATAATCATCACAAGTATTATAATTAAATTTCTAAAGAAATAAGGCTCATTATATAATAACTAATAGTCACATAACTTAGAGTTTAGTTAGTATAGTTTTTGGCATTTTTCAGAGACCTTTCACAGTCATTTTTCCTACGTGATGGGAGGATGTATGAAATGTGAACCACGCCGAGATCAGTGGATAGAGCGTCGGCTTGGGGACTGAAAGGTCCCGGGTTCGATTCCGGTCAAGGGCATGTACCTTGGTTGCGGGCGCATCCCCAGTGGGGGGTGTGCAAGAGGCAGCTGATCAATGACTCTCTCTCATCAATGTTTCTAACTCTCTATCTCTCTCCCTTCCTCTCTGTACAAAATCAATAAAATATATTTAAAAAAGAAAAAGAAAAAGAAATGTGAACCACATCTTGCCGAGAGGGCAGCTCAGTGGGAAGAAAGCACATCATAAAAGGCCTAGAGGAAGTGACACAGCACTGACCCTTGAGTGATTTGAAGGGGCTCCCCAGATGGACGGAAGTTTCCCAGCAGAGTGCAGCAGAATGTAGGGTGATAGAGGAGAGTTCTTTTGTGGGACCAAACATCTCAGTATGGGTAAGGGGAACTGTGTAGAGGCAGGCGAGGCTTTATGTGGACTTGATTCTCTGGCAGTGAGTTTCGTTGAGGCAAAAGACTAACATGATCAGATTTTATTTCAGGAAAATAATTGTCAGTAATATAGAAAATGAACTTGAGAGATCTTCAGCAGGTCGGTTCAAGATAGCTGATATTTTCAAAACCTGTTAGCTGTGAGATCTCAGGTCCAGATGTGGTGCCACTGAGCAAGAGGAGACAGCCAGTTTGGCATGAGCAGCACAGTACTGCCTGCAACGAAAGCACGAGATTTAGACACAGAAATCGTGGTTGCAGCGCTGGCTCTGTCAGATCTACAATTGTCGGGGAGCATTACCATTTCATTCCCCTTGGCTTACCTCTGTGTAATGAGAGTATTTGTGCGGCACCAACTTTACATATGTTAATTAACATCACATTAATTAACAGTACTTCAGACAACAAATCAGGACTTGGAGTAAAGACAAATGGGAAGTTTTATAAGCTAGTCCCAGAATCACATCCCAGGGTAGAGGGTTTAGCAGATTGCCTAAGCTATGTAGAAGGGTGGATATGGGGATTGTAGAATCCAATTTTGAACCACTTCTATCATACGTAATTATTCCAAGGACTTCCTTGTTTTATTATACCCAGGTTCTCTCTTGAAGTTGGGGGGTAATAAAACAAAATGTTCACTAGTTCTATAAGGTTGGTTTTGATACCATTGTAATTAGCTAGTTATTAAAACAGGAAAGGAGCAAAGGGAAAGCCAGATATTATAGGCATGTCATTTGGGCAGCTTTACCAGGAAACTGCAATTTCACACTCTTCCTCAGGGAACAATGGCCTATTCCTTCCAAAACACTGGGGGAAGGGATTCAACAAAGAAAAGATAGACACATGCGCAGTAAAGTTGGAAAGTCTATCCTAGAAGATACTTGTCTGTCAATCATACCTAGGAGCAGAGATGTTTGGCCAGAATGGATATGGCCACTGCAAGGGCATAAACAGGAATACAGACTCCCTTAATAGAGGAATTCTCTCCCTTGGCTCTTATTGCTCTTGGCATGCTTGGCTTGTGACTCTTGTGTCTCTTGGTTCTCCAGCAT